TATGAGAATTTAAAGGCTTAGCAGAGCTGTGAGTTTAAGGTGGTCAGGAAAATTTTCTCCGTAGGTCTTTTATGTCCAAATCAGGGAATGTTTGTAGAAATATCAGATTTTCTTTCTATTTGGGAAGAGGTTGTCTCCCTTCAATCTTCCATCTCCAAGAAAAAAAAAAAAAAAGAAGAAGGAGGTACAAATAAGTGGAATTTTAAAAATTCCTACAATTTGTTGTCAATGAGATGACGTGTGTGATAGTTTGGCTATTATGTTGAGATGTAATCTTATTTGTCCTTCAGCTGTTGAAGTTCCTTAGATGTCTTCTCTTTTCGTTCTGCAGATTTACTCTCTCTCTCAGATTTACTATCCATTCCCATAAATTCACGTGTGATCTGTATACTGAAGAATCCTTGTGCTGATCTCTGCTCATCTCAGACCCTTACAGCTCATTGTCCTAACTGATTCACTTAGATGACAAAAAGGCAGTTCAAAAGAAAAACCCCACAGCATTTAGCATTTCCTATCTTTGCCATTATATCTGTTTCTTTGCCTTTGTTCTCTATCTCAGTGAATGGTACCATACCTGAGACAAAACACGGGAGGGAGAGAGTAGTCACCTTTGAGTCCTAGCCTCTCCTAATCCCATATTGAATCTATCCTGCTTATTTCTGCCCATTATACAAATTTACAACTTTGTAAAAAACAGTTTTATTTCTTTTTACAATTTTTTTTTCAATTAAAAAAATATTTTTTGAGACAGAGTCTCCTTCTGTCACCCAGGCTGGAGTGCAGTGGCACAGTCACTGCTCACTGCAGTCCTGGGCTCAAGCCATCCTCCCACCTCAGCCTGTGGAGTAGCCGAGACTTCAGGTGCATGCCACCACACCTGGGTAATTAAAAAAAAAATTTTTTTTAGAGATGGGGTCTCACTATGTTGTCCAGGCTGAATTTTACTCTTAAATATGAACTTCTCCTCTCCACTACCATTTCCACTTTTCTAATTCTCTCCTTATCTCTCTTATGAACTGAAGCAAGACTTCTTATCTTTGTCTGTTTTTTTTCTAAATTATATATTTTTCAGTCAGCATGATTTTACTAAAACACTTATCTGATTATTGTTCCTTTTCTGCTTAAAACTACTAATGACTTTTCATTGCCCTTAAGTTCTAAATTCCTTAATTTGAATTACAAAAGTCTTTGTATCTGGCTCCTGAATGCCTTCCCAGCCTCATCTTTTAGTGCCTCTGCCTTGCTCTCTATGCTATTATCCTATTAAATTGTTTTAGTTCCTTCTACATGCCATGCTTCCTTGTTCCTCTGTCTTGGATCTTTTCCTTATTCATCCCGTTCTTCATCTGACTAACTTGTATATTATTCATACTCCTTCAGATATTGCTTAAATAAACTTCCTCTCCTGGAGACTTTTCCTCCCTCCACTAACACATCTGAGTGAGATGCCTCTCCTACATGTTCTCACAGCACCTATCATTTCTCACACCAACTATTAATTTACTTACCGTAATGAATTGCAATTACCTAGTGTCTTGTCAGTACCTCTGACTAGACTGTAGTTATTGTGTTTATTTTTGTATGTTGGCACATATATAGAGGATACTCAGCCATTGCTGAGGGAATGGATGGATGACAGTGTTACAAACTCAGGTTCAGTTGCTCACTGCTTGCAGAGTCCAATTAACAAGAGGGACGTCTGGTATAAAGAAGGTCACTTTTTATTCCAGAGCTAGCTCAGGGAAGAAGTACAGGCTTCCTGCCTTAAGGGTACTACTTTGCCTTTGAAGCAGAAAGTGGGTGCTTTTAAAGGGGGTCTATCATGAATGGCACACAGCAGTAGTAGTAAACAGGTGGGGACTCCATGTGCCAGCTTGGTGCCTTATCTACTGGGCAGTCAAGTTGCTGTCTTCATGGGCAGAAATAGGTTGTAAAGTGGCCACAAACTCTCCAGGTGAGAGTTTTGTAGCAGGACTTTGGGGTGTAAATAGACTATTATCTCTCGAGGCAACCTTCCTACTGGTGGGTGAGAGTTCTGTTCTGGAGCTTCCAAGCACATAGTTAGATCAACTTGCCCTGTAGGGAGTGTCTGGTGAAGGGAAGGTAAAAGGTTATCCTTGCATTTCTAAAAGGCTAAATGGAAAGTGGGAGATAGGGAGAAATGGAGAAAAGAGAAAATAGTTAAAAAATAGTAACTGTTTCTTTTTTTCTTAGAAAAATTAGGATACTTGGTTATGGAAGTATGAATGCATGATTAGTTTTCCAGGGAGTCTGCTCTCTGTATCAGTGTTACTTGGTTCAGAGGTTCATATGTTCATGATTTCTATAATTAAATTCTGTTTGTAACTTTATAAGGTTTCCATATTAACATTGAATTTTGCATTGCTTACAAATTAATTTTCTATTTTTTCCTATTAGTTTTTTTCTGTTTGCAATTTAAGGCAGAACTTTTTTTAAAAAAGTATGGTTCTTACCTGTTGTAAATGGAACACTTTGCAAAACTACTTAACGGAGATTCAAATCAAGGGGAAAATTGACAAGGCAGTGATATACAGGCTACTCATTTAAGCATTATTAACAGGTATATGATCTCATCTTTCCTCTAGTAAGAACATTTAAAAATACTCCACAGGATTAAAAAATCAGATGACATTATTATTTATTTTCATTTTATGATCTTTTGTAATATATATTTGAATAAAGCTATACATCTTAATTAATTTAATAATTAATAAAATCTAATATAAAAGTAGCTTATTTCTGAGACTTTTAAAGAATTTCCATTTTCAACCATTATATAATAGGTTAGTTATCTCTTTGTATCTTCTGTCAGGCAAATGGACTGAGGCCTAACACAATACAGACTTTAGAGGACAGAACATTCCCTAATGGTTTTAAATCTTTCATAATTATAGAAAACAACTTTCTTCATACTTTTACTACACTTAAGCTCTGAATTTCTGTACTTACAATAATGCACTATTGCATTATTTGGATTCAAATGCTGAAATCTATCATAGCAGTTATATAATACGCAAAATTATCAGTTTAGACAATGTACCGAGGTTCAAGAAGAGGAAAACAAATAGGAAAACCTTAACAGTAGAGTCAGTGATAAGGACTCCAAAAGAAAAACACATTGTGGATTTCTGCTTTTAGGTTTTTATCTGGAGCTTATGTACTTACCTCTCCTCCTCTGCCTCCCCCTCTTACAGTCCATTGAAATCATAAAAATTGTAAAAAAAAGAAAACTGCTCTAGGACTACTGGGAAAGACAGAAAAGGGTAACTTTATACCATTGACATATAAGAAATGTAAAACTTCTGGAGTGTGTGAAACACAGGGAACCACACTGAAACCAAACTAATCAGACTTGTATAGCAGGTAAGTAGGGAGCCTCTTCAGAAGCAAGTAAGTGGGTAATGTCTTTAACTTACCCTGAAAGAGTTTTCATTTTGGAGCAACAGAGGTTTAAACGGGGATGTACTGAGGGCAAGAGGTGAGGGTTAAATTATATTATTTTGGAAACTTTACTAGTGACCCATATCATATATTTCCTTAGGTATTACTTTATATGGATAGTGTACTAAATAAAGAACTAATAAGTTGAGGAGAAAATAAAATAAAAATAAAACTCAAAGGCTATTTAGAAATTATTAAAAGTGAAATAATCATATATGAAAATCTATGGGATGTGTTCAAAGATATACACAGAAAATAATCCAAGTCTTAAGTTAATTTCATAATAGAGCAGAAAGATTGAAAATAAATGAACTAATCCATGCTGGTCACTAATCCGTGGTTTTGAGGAGTGCTGTATTAAGAAGGGTTCTAAAGATGAGTCTGTGCTGACCACTGAGTGTGGCTGTTAGAGAGTAGAGAAAACAGCATTCAGTGGATTTTGTTAGATGCACTGTATAAAGCCATTAAGAACCAGATAATTTTTTAAATTTTTAAAATTATTTTTAAATTTTGCTTTAAGTTCTGGGATACGTGTGCACAATGTGCAGGTTTGTTACATAGGTATACATGCACCTATCAACCCATCATCTAGGTTTTAAGCCCCACATGCATTAGGTATTTGTCCTAATGCTTTCCCTCCCCTTGTCTCCCAACCCCCTGACAGGCCCTAGTGTGTGTTGTCCTCTTCCCTGTGTCATTGTTCAACTCCCACTTCTGAGTGACAACAGGTGGTGTTTGGTTTTCTGTTCCTGTGTGAGTTTGCTGAGAATGATGGCTTCCAGCTTCATCCATGTCCCTTCAAAGGACATGAACTCACCCTTTGTTATGGCTGCATAGTATTCCATGGTGTATATGTGCTATATTTTCTTTATCCAGTCTATCATTGATGGACATTTGGGTTGGTTCCAAGTCTTTGCTATTGTAAATAGTGCTGCAATAAACATATGTGTGCATGTGTCTTTATAGTAGGGTGACTTGTAATTCTTTGGGTATATAACCAGTAATAGGATTGCTGGGTCAAATGGATTTCTAAGAACCAGATAATTCTTATATTGCTCCAAAGCTCAGAGTGAGAGGAGGTTTCCCAATTATTTTTTGAAGCAAGCATAATTCTGATACCCAAATCTGAGGAAGAAAGCATTCAAAAGAAAACTAAAGGGCGGGCATGGTGGCTCATGCTTATGATCTCAGCACTTTGGGAGGCTGAGGCAGGAGGATGACTTGTGGTCAGGAGTTTGAGATCAGCCTGGCCAATATGGTGAAACCCCATCTCTACCAAAAATACAAAAATTATATGGGCATGGCAGCATGCACCTATAGTCCTAGACACTTGGAAGGCTGAGGTGGGAGAATCGCTTGAACCCAGGAGGCAGAGGTTGCAGTGAGCAGAGATTGTGCCACTGCCCTCCAGTCCAGCCTGGGTGACAGAGTGAGAACCTGTCTCAAAAAAAAAAAAAAAAAAAAAAGAAAGAAAGAAAAACTAAAGATAAATTTGTAGAGACCTCAAATAAAATATGTTCAAGTAGGTTTCACCAGTAAACATAGTAAAATAAGCAGAAACATTGTTTACAGTGAAAAATAAAATTCACCTACAAGTGATAAAAGAAGCTCCTTTCAATTTCTGTTAATCTTAAATTAAATAAATTGTATTACAATTCACAGACAAGGTGGTGAATAATATCCATTCAGCTTTGTCCGGAACAGCACAGATGATAGTGACGTCGTGGAATTCACCTTTGTGGCTATTTAGTGACCCGTTATCACGTGGGCTGTGAGAAATCAGACTGCTAGTCTAGATTAGCATCTAGACTGAAAGTCTGAGAATAGGTGAAAGCCGAAGTAGGATGCCCAGTACCTGATTTTTAATATGAAACTCTCCTTTGTCTCTTATGTTTTGAGTTGGTTATCTGAATGCCTGTCTTATTTGCCTTTGCTTTCAAGAGATAAGAACTATAATGATTCACCTTTGTTTCCATCTAGGACAGACTTTTCCATAGAGCAGGTGCTAAGAAAACACTTAATTGAATTTAATTAAAGAGGCATTGGTATAGTAGGAAGTTCACTGGTCTTGGAGATAGCAATTTGGTTTCAAGGCCAGGCTTTGGTCAGGATGCTTCCTTTCCAGCTCAACTAGGACTTCCTCTCTGGGGGGCCTCCTTGCCACCCACTCTACCCTGCATTCTGAATGAGCTAATTCTCTGTGTTTTCCCACAAACCTGTTCTTCCCTTTCTGGGGCACTTAGCACTTTCCTGTGTCTCCTCTGTGAGACAGTGAGTGTGCTCGGTTCAAACTCTATCCTCTGAATCCTGTGTTTGCAGAGATTGGTACCCCCCATAGTGCTAAAAAATGTGTTATGTGAATAAATGGTTTAGCTTCTCTGTGCTTAAGTTTTTCCCATCTAAAAATAACAATGTTAATAATACATAATATTGGGATTTCCAAGAACCTCCCTTAGAAAAAAGGCTACCCCCTTTCATAAGAACAGCAGTTGTTTGTTATTGAACACTTATTAGATGTTCACTGACCAGACACTTCACATATATTATCATTATGTCCTATCATTGTGCCACAAAGAGATAGGTGCTATTGTTCCCATTTTATAGGTGTTTGGGGAGGTGAAATCACTGCCCCAAATCAATAGCAAGCAAGGCAGTGGCAGAGGTGGGATTTGAATTCCAAGTCTGTAATTTTTCTACTATAGAATTTAGTCACATGCGTTTAATATTTCCATAGGAAGCTCCTCTTGGGTTGCCATCAACAGGTCTCCTCATGGCTATCCTGGCTGTGCCACGATGGTCTCCAAAAGTCTGGCCCTGAAAGTTAAGCTACTGAGATCCAGTCCCTAATGTATTACTGAGTACATGGTAAGTGTCTGCTCAATATGTAATTGTTGAACAAAATACTGAATTAGTGAATGAAAAGCTTATAGATGATACTAGTAACTTATGAAATAAACCAAGAGACTCTTCATGTATGTGTGACTGAAGAGTTTTTAAGCACAACTAACCTGGGCAACATGAAGAAACCCTCTCTCTCCAAAAATACAAAAATTAGCTAGGCGTGGTGGTGTGTGCCTGTAGTCCCAGCTACTCAGGGGGCTGAGGTGGGAGGTTCATTTAAGCCTATGAGGTCGAGGCCGCAGTGAGCTGCCATAGGACTTCAGCCTGGGTGACAGAGCGAGACCCTGTCTCCAAACAAACAAACACATGCTCACAACTTTAGCTGACATACAAATATTCCTAGAAAGGTAAAACTGGAATTGGATTCTCATTTAGTAGTGAAAAATGTGAAATAAGGGATTGATTAGTTAACTAGGGATCTTATTAAAAATGAACACTTCTACATTCCATTTACAGAGTTTGTTATATTTAAACCCTCCATATGTAAATGTGATATACAATGCTTTGTGAATTGTAAATTGCTAATAATACACTTAATATATTATTAAGGAATTGTTTTCTTTTAAGTGAAAGTTGAAGAAAGTGTCCTTTGGGATTTGTTGAAACTCAAGGAAGAGAACAGTTTTGAGACTCAGGAAGATCTAAAAAGAAAAGGGCTCTTTTATGCAGGGAAAATAATGTTTTCTGTTTTTTATTTTTTTTCTTGTCAGTGGCTCCTTAGAAACAAATCTGGTTGACTAAGCTTTAACAAATAGATTCAACCGGAGTATTTGGCTATTTCAGGGTAGCGACATCCTTAGATTTCCTTAGGTGAGAGTGGCGTATTGTCACGACGCACACGAGGTCTGAAAGGACAGCCAGGAAATTCTGAGCAAGCCGGCAGCGTTCAGGATGAGCAGCAGCTCTGGGGAGCCTGGGCTGATTCTAGTTGCCTGTCAGACTTGTGACTCAGCAGCTCTTTGCTTCCCTCGGTTGATTTCTTCCTGTTCCATCACCAGTTCGTTACTCCTTTCTTCTCTCCTTGTTTCTGCCAGTGGCTTCTGCTTATTGCCATTTATTTTAAAAAATAAGAAACCATTAGAGGCTTACTGTGTGCCAAACAAAATCTCATTTTTATTCTCACAGGGTACAGGGTGTCTTTCTTTTCTGACCATTCATTACCTTAGTCCCCACAATGAGTGTGCAGGGAGCCCCAAAGCCATCACAATAAGAAAATATTCATGAATGAACAGAAAACGATATATTTCCCACCCAAAAGCTCCTCCCCATTTATTATTAGTCTTGGTGATTAACAACCACTCATATACAATGTAAATGTAATTCAAAGCATAATTGTAAAATTTGCAAAAGATGTAGAATTTAATGAAGTTGTCAACAGAAAAGCCATTGGTAAGTGAGAATTTGGGAGTGTGGCCAGTTAACAATTGGAGAAGATAAAATTGACATGGATCACAACATAACAAACATGCTAAAAAAGAAAGATTTGAGTAATAAAGTCTTGGAATAATTTTAGAAGTCTTGAAATATGTTTTTAAAAATGTGAAATGCAACGTGAACTGTATTATCCTAGCATTTTGTTTTGTCCTCCTAACTCCATGACTTGGCACTTTGTTCATTCTAATACTTGGTATATACTGAAAGCTATAATAAAAATATTAGTAATATTTTAAGATACTTATTTTTATAATTCTATTTTTAAGATAAAGTCATAATCATACTTTTGACCATTTGCTCAAAATTTTTGGACTCTGTTTTAGTGGATTTATTTTAGGTGCCAAACAATTATCCATTGCCCTTTTTAAATGACAACCTCCTATACTATTATTTTTCTAATTTTACAGGTGAGGAAAATGAAGTCCAGAGAGGTTCACTCACTTGCTTTAAGGTTTTTTGTTGGTCACTGAGAGAACTGGGATTAGAATGTGGGCACTAAGATTTCACATACCACATTCTTAAATACCATGTTAAACTGTCCTTGTGCCCTATCAATTCCCTTTTTATATCTCAAATTCAAATTTTCAGGAAGCTTCTTTTAGGCTGACTCATCACTATTTGGCTTAGAGTACCCCAGTTCGACACAGCTCTGGTTCCAGAGCATTCTTATGCTGCTGTCAGTTTCCAAATAGCTCTTCTGAAGTTAAGGCCCAGATCTCTGGTTCAATCAGTTGCCCCTAACTTAGTGGCAAGGTTACATAATGCATGGCTACTTACTCTCAAGGAATTGTCTTTAATCATTTGGAAAGATACTTTGGTTGTGGCACTCATTTTACATCTTCTCAAAAAAAGGGACAAATAATACACAGGCTCCTGGCATGGCTATTTAATATCTACATTTTTTGAATATGCTATCTAAATGGAAGATTTGCTCATAGCTTTACCTTTTTTGTTGGTAACTCAGAGAACTGGAATAAGAATGTTGGCACTAAGACTTCACAGGAATGAGTATAAACAGAAGACATCATTATTCTACCCACTGTTCGACACAGTCTGTCTCTCACTCTCAAGGACTATGTTAATTGTGCTACTTGAAAACTGATTTTTCTATTTTGCTCTTCTGAAATACATTTTAGAAATCTTTGGTGTGCTCAGTATTATATGATTGAATGTAGGCATTAACATAGGCCAGACTTTTATCTTTTTCGGGTCCCCAACCTTTTTATGAAATAAGAATTAGGCTTTTGGTGATTTTTGAGTGATATATGTTCATGGGGTTAGAGAAACATGAATAGCTACTTGGAGCCCTTAGAAACTGAAAGTCATCTAAGACTTGTAAACGATAAAGGCTGTGACAAATTATTAATAGGCCCAAATAATCTCTTTAGCTTTCACTCTAAAGTCCTGCTAATAACACCTTACTTTTATATAGGATATTACGACTTGAGAATTTTCTTACATTTATTATCTCATTCATGGTCACAAAGCTATATGGTGTAGAAAAGGGAAATGGCATTACTCTGTTTTTATGGTGAGGATACTGAGGTTGTTCTGATGTCTAGCAGTGACAGTCCAACACTAGAATAATTCCCTCAATTCCTGATTCAGTGCTTTTTCCACTCCCCATAATAAAGGAGAATAAGACGATAATGAAGAAAAGAAGAAAGATACCTAATAATTGTTAAATACCAACCATGTGCTTAATACACTATTTAAGAAAGTTAATTTTCAATTATTTTGCATATTATAGTTGCAGAATACATGCTTTAAATTCTTTTCTCTGAATCAGCAATATCAATATCATATCTACTTTGTAAGTGAAGAAATTGTAGAATATTAAACAATGTAGACACATTAGGAAAATCAGTTGGGAAATTAATTAGAATTTATGTGTTTATTAATTTTTAATTATTAATTTAAAAATTTTAAATAATTTAAAAATTATTAATTTAGTTATGTGTTTATCATCAGGTAATTATTAAAATAATTAACAACAGGGGATTTACCCAGACTAATTAGCTGTGTCTTTTACCCAGGGCAGCTGTTAGAATCTTGTCAGGTTTTCTCATCTTGCTTCAGCAATCGGTTTTATTTTAATTTTTTCTTTGTTAAAATTGGCTTATTAATTATGGTAAATCACATAGGTCAGAACAGTTTTTACACTGCTCTTATTGGGAAAAATAATACTTTGTCCTAAGCATTTAATAGTAATACTTTTAAAAAAGTTAAAAACAAAACAAAACAACACCAGCTGGAGAAGACTGACCCTTGGGGTGATTGGTAGCTTATCACACACTAATTGCATCTTATGTTCAAAATCACTGGCATGCAGTATATTACATTTAATCATAGTTCAGGCTCCAGGACTTTTTTTTTGTGGGGTGCTACGGAGAGAACAATAATAAAAAAACTGTGAGTCTCTGCATTTCTGACTCATGCTCTTTATTTTTCTTTACATGCATGTATTCAGAAAAGAGTGGTTTCTGTAGAATGGTTGATTATGGTAATAATTATAACTCATAGTTTTATTATAGGCAATTATTTGAGGTGGAAAATTCCTGAAATTTGGACTAATGTTGTCCTGTTACCCATATCATATTGAAACCGAGTTTATTGACTGAAAAATTTAGCTTATGAACCCCTTTTAACAAGCTCCTGAAATAAATCAAGGCTTTTCTTAGACACATGTCCTTGCCATGAGTGCTTATCGGAATGACATTTTTGTGACTCTTGGCACATTAAACTTTCTGATTTTCCTGACTGGTCATTTGAGGACAAATTAAGAAAACATTGAGGATAAAGAAAAAAATGACTCTGAAGGCAGTTGTATTTAATTCTAAGATATAAAGAAAGGCTGTGGAAATATCATGTCTGAATTTAAAACAGAAATTACTTGAGACTTTCTGAGACTGACTGACAGGCAGAGAGTTTGCTTGGGATTGAAGTAGCCATTTTGTCAAGGAGAACACATGCAACCAAACATTTCATTCCACGGAATAGGACTCAAACATGGCTCAACTGTGTTAATATCTTATACATAGTATTTCATTGATCATTTATTTTATCAAAATATTAAGTTTTGGTCGTATACGTGATTTATTTAACTTTATATAGCTAAATCCTCCTAACATAGATTAAATAGAATTTCTGGCTAAGTTTTCAACTTTTATCACTCTTGCACATAATTTTTTGTTAAGACCACCAAAATCTTATATTTAACAAAATTTAATTTAACCAACTGAAAAGCATTGAGAATATTTACCTTTAAGGTTTATATTGTATTTTTAAATATATAAAATCGTGTTTGCTATATCAGCAATTTAGGTATAACAGTATTTATGACATCAAAGAAAAAATCATGCAGTTTGTTTAAGTGGGAGGTGCCGTAAGATTGGGAAAAAAAGTGAGGTTTACATTCTTATTGTATTATTTACTATCTTTGCTATCTGAGGCAATAATTTACTTAGTCTGGGTCCATGTTCCCTCAACTGTAAAATAATCTTTATTGCACATGGTGCCAAGGCATATGC